TCCAATGCCTAATGAATGACATCTTTGGCCCTTATCTCCGGAAGTTTGTTCTGGTCTTCTTCGACGATATCTTAATCTATAGTAAGAGCTGGGTGGAGCATATCCATCATGTCCGCTTAGTTTTTGATATCCTCCGAGCACATGGGCTATTTCTTAAACGCTCCAAATGCTATTTTGGAACTGATAGTGTGCAGTATTTGGGTCACATCATTCACGAAAAAGGCGTCAAGGTTGACCAGGAGAAAGTTAAAGCCATCCAAGAGTGGCCTCTGCCAGGGACACTAACGGCCTTGCGTGGGTTTCTAGGCCTGGCTGGCTACTACCGTAAATTTATCAAAAATTATGGGGAGGTTGCCTTGCCACTCACGCAACTCTTAAAGAAACATTCATTCCATTGGAATGAGGAGGCCACTGTTGCCTTTAACCAACTTAAACATTGCTTACCCAGTCAGCAACCAAGGACAGATATCACCTTAATCGGCCACCTGTGCCAGAACACGCATCATCTAGCAAACAAAGCGCACCAAAGGAACAATAGCCTTCCCCGGCCGCATCAAGGGACAGGCAACGGACAAACTCAAAACACAGGGCCACATAGCGCCGCGACAAGGAACGGCTAACGTGGTCCCGCATCGGCCAAGAAGTATCAAGCACAGAAATCTACTCTCCTTCACTTCGTCTACATCTCAGCTTAGAGAGTGGGGGACTCCTTATGGAGTATATGGGCCTAGGCCCCAGGACCCACATACTCAGAAGAACAGAAAGCACAGCCACCACGGGGTGCCCTCGTCGGCCAGAAGGCTCTCGACGGCCAGAGAGGGACCAACTCAGAATATGGCCCTGAAGCCAGGGAACCAGAGTGTACTCGTCGGCCACGCCCTCGTCGGCCGCGCCCTCGTCGGCCACGGAAGTCTCACAGAACCGGATTTTATACTTATTCATTTGTATAGCCCATTAGTGGCTTTGTATTCGGCCCAATAGCGGTCCAGTTGTAAATGGGCCTCCCAAGCCCAAGGCCTGGGAGCCCAGCCCGTATTTCCCCTATAAATACTTCCTCTGGAGGTAGTTATCAGGGTGACAAATCATTCTATTGAAGCATATATTGCACTTCTCTCTCTAGCTCTCACTTCTCTCTAGACAATTACTCTATCACCTACCAACAACCATATAATATGTTATAACTAACCATTATTCATTTCATCCAAGCCCAGCCCGTTTACTTAACCTAAATCTATCCGGCCCAGCCCTTACTTAACCTAAACCTACCACACCAAGCCCCTCATATACAATACTCCGCGGTTTTGGAGTATGTAATCTCTGGTAACGACGCGTATACCAATATGGAGACTCATCGGTTACTCGCATGGACCGACGGTCTCCGGAACTTTCCACCTACTCTGATTATGCCATTCCAGCGATCTACCTTTTCGTTTGCATGTCTAGTCGTGATGTTTAGCAGCGGTTGTAGCCGTCCGTGTAGTTCGCATATCATCTGACACCATTAACGGCTGATTGTAATTGATGTTTGGTAAACTTTTTCCTCAAATTTTGTTTAAGTATTCATCTTCGTGAACACTACATTTTTAATCTGTAATGATGTTCATTCATTTCATTTGTTCGAGTTTTTGGTTATCAGTTTAGACGAATCATGTTTTTTGGGAATGCATGACATATACTGATGCATCTGAGTATGTTGAAATAGCGATTTTGAAATTATTTACCCAGATCTGTAAATCTCTTCATTTCTGTACCGTTTGAGGATAAAAAAATCTCATCGGATATCATTTCTCAACCAGATCTGTTGAAATATAAGATCTGGGATTGATCACCGATGAACATGAATTTGGTTTACATTTTGGTGTCGGTAAATTAATTATTTTGTGACAAATACAGACTGTTATCTTTGAATATTGAGATGTAACAGTAAATGGGTACTTTGTCATACATCATATTGACGATTGCACTATTTCATTCAAATTTAGTGAACCATGATAATAATACTTTTTTCATTTATAAACTATAAACATGTTAAATACTATTTCTCTATCATACAAACTGTTTTAATAGTATGATATATTTTAACCTATATAGTATATATTATATATATTATATATATTAGATATTATATATTATAAATTATAGTGATGTAAACTAATAGTATATATAATATATATAATATATAATATATATAATAATAATATATATTATATATAATATATATAATATATATAATAATATATAATAATCTGTCCCATATAATCAGAATTACTATAATATTAGTATGATATGAACTACATTTCCTTCAAAGTGTTATGAGCAAACATTTTAACCTATATAGTATATATTGTATATATTACATATATTATATATATTACATATATTATATATATTATATATTATATATTATAATGATGTAAACTACAAACAATCTGCCACTTACACTTCAATACACTTCAAAGCATAATCCACACGGTTTGAATATTATATTTAGTGTTATGTTATAGTAGATTATAATATTTATAATTTATAAATTTTGAATTAATATTATAAATATTATAATTAGTAAAACATTAGTATGATATGCACCACAACTAACTGCCACATGCACTTTAAAGTCTTTTGAGGAAACATTTAAACAACATTATATGTATCATAGAAACTGTAATAATGGTATATATTATAATATTATAATATTATAATTATAATTATAATTGGTACAATATTATTATAATTACCTTAAATAGTAGAATAATATTACTATAATAATAGAACTACCTTGGTTAGTCAAGTCCTGAAAACTTCTTTTACGGTTGATTATTGTGCTTTTTGTGATCTTCTTCATTGAAGAGCTGTGATTACAAAAATGAAATGAACTTAACCCCAAGCAGTGAAATGGAAATGAAATTTGTAGGAATTTGCATGCTTTTTGACATGGTATATGAGAATCAATACCTACAATATTATAAGTTTAGTTGTACATGATTTAAAATAATTTTAAAATAATTTTAAATCAATACCCCAAGCAGTCAAGATATACACTTCTAATATTTAAACATTGAATACTAATTAGTATCTACTATTGAATATATTGTTATAATTTCATTACTATTATAATTTGTATAATATAATTAGTATAATATTAGTATGATATGCACCAAAAACTAACTGCCACACACACTTCAAACTTATTTGATCAAACATTGTAAACAATGTATATCATACAAACTGTTTTAATACTATATATTATAATATTATAATATATTCTAATATTATAATTACTATAATATTACTATATTAATATAAATATTTTTTGAATACAACTACCTTGGTTAGTCAAGTCATGATGGAGTTAACCCTAAGCAGGAGTCAAGTCTTGTAGGTATTTGTATGGTTATGTACATGATTTGAAATAAAATTTTCCCCTTATTCATGCATTCTAAACCATTTTGTCCTGCACTTGTATACTCCGTATATGCCAACAGATATTCTCAGGTGGTTAGTGAGCAATGGTAAGTTACATTCTCTCAAAGCTATTTACTTAATTCATTTGTACAGACTGTGTAACCACCCTAGCTGTGCTATTTAATGCTATTTGAGCTTCAATGATGATGACCTTCTTTACCATTAATGTTTCACAGAGATGAGATTTTGTTTAGATAAATTATATCTAGTAGTACATACTATGAGATGCAATATCTGTGACCAAAGATATTTCAGTACAATGCATTAAATGGTGTTCAATTTGAATTGGATCAAAACATGCGGCGTATTGGTGTTTTGAGAAATCACTTTTTGTGAATTATAAAATGCATTTTTTGAGTACTTATTAGTACTTTGTATATGTACTTTGTTTATTTGTTACTTATTTGTACTTTGTTTATTTGTTAGGATACTACTTGTACTTTGTTAATTTGTTACTTATTTTGAATATTGTATTTTGAAATCAAAAGTTTTTTGAAAATATAAAACTGTAAATCCAACTATTTGTTCAAGTGAAAATAGTAAAGTATTTGTACTTTGTTAATTTGTAACTTATTTCAACATAGCTAAATAAACATATGTGCCATAATTGTAACAAAATATTATTTGGTTTACCAAATAATCACCAACTTATAAATGTGCCTCGTTAATTTCTTAGTTACTTGGACTTTGGTAATTTTGTTACTGATTTTGCATATTGTATTTTGAATTGAAAAGTTATTTCACATCTGCTCATTGACATTATTTTTGCAGGTTCCAATTTATAACCGATCAGGAGACTTTACCAAGAATTTACCTTTTGTTGCAAGTGTTGCAACTCAAATAGCACCATTCTCTAAAGTTTTCAATTGATACAACATCTCCCAATATCCAGTACATCCCTTCCTATTGTTTCAATCAAAGTTAACCATTTATATCAATTAGATATAAATGAATTTTCTAATTTTTGAAAACTTTACCTCTGTTGTTTTGAGCAAATCAGCAATCATTGTTATGCTCACATTGCCTCGAAGAATGTCTTCACGACTTTCAAGTTGTGAATTAGCAGCCAAAGTAGTCAAAGTCCCATTGTCCCTCTCTTCCGCTGGAAACCTATAACATAGAACTTACATAATAGGGCAGCGTAAATTTAGAAACAGTAAAATAGTACAACTAACATTGTACGTACTGTGCCATGAAGTCGACCAGTTCAGTTGTGTTTCCATTGATAATTAACTTGCTAGCATCGTAGCAGGTCGTGACTGATATGGTTCCTGAAATATAAAGGTTTTTAGCAGAAAAATAAGAATCAGACATTCCTAAAAAGATTTTAAGCACCTTTGTAGCGTTTTGGCCTGCACATCTGAACAATCACAAAAATTGGGTCATCTTTGTGATCTTCGTAATAGTCTAGAAACTGGTCTATGTAGTTGTTCCATAGGGTGCAGCCAAGACGGTTTCCACTGTGAATAAGTAATTGTTAGACGGTTATTTATAATCTAGTCACGGTCTGTGATCTGAATATTTTTTAGAATACATACTCTGCATCCTCGAGAGTGAGCTCCATCAACCTCTCAGGTTTACCATTAATCACATGGTTTTGAGGTGTAACCTTGGTCAACACCTTCCCCACAACATCTGCACCAAAATATATATATGTAGGCTGCTTCACTTAATTTATAATTTTAAAAACAGAAATTTTTATAATTACCCATTAGTTGTTTGTCATCCACAACTCTTAAGGTTTGAAGAACCTCAAATTGCTGAAAGTCAAACACACTATTTGGCACAACATCTGGATTAATATCTTTTACTACTGTTTTGCCGTAAAACTCAATTAGATAGGCATGGGTCGTAGCTTTGTAAGTATAGTAGTTGTCCATCACCAAGAATTCCCTTATTGCGTATACACCGTTTTCTTTTATCTTGGACCTGAACAACCCAAGTTGTGGTCTCTTTATTAAACCGTGAATCTTTTCTCCCTGCAATTACGAATTTTGTTGTTAAATTGTGTGAATGCATCGAAATATTTAAATGAAACATCAATCCTTGGTAACGCTACCTGGGAATCCATTAACACCAACTCCATCCTCTGTCCTCCCCTTGCATGTGGTGGCAGTTCATAAGCCCTGACTACTTTCACCTTCACAGCCCAAGTGGTCTTGGTGTGATCAACCTCCCTAAGGAATGAATACATTCCTTGATTTCCTGCCATTGAAATATCAAATATGAAGAGTGTTGAGTGTTGTGTGTGGGATGCGAAATTAACTGACTGTGGTATGGTATTTATACTGCTCTAGAGAACAATATTGCTCTTGATTTAACGTGTATTCACACATTTTTGTCCGATGGGTTTCAATTAGACTTTTGAATTGGCCTCCTCAGTTGTATAGCATTTAATGTTGTACTTTAAAGTGAGATTCTATAATATATGAGATCTCCCTTCATTAAATGCAAAATAAAGATTTGAAGAGACATGTTGCTACATATAATTAATTGCTCTTTGTCAGGCTGCACCCGGTTCTAATCCAAAACGCAACTAAAGCAGCAAACAATAAATGGAAACATCCAAATCGCACATGCATTGTGGCCCCGACCCGTTTTTGCACGTTTGACCCGTTTTTGGGAGTGGAATTGGGCGGGAAACTCTGTCTGCCATTCCACTCCGTTTTGTATATAGAAAGATAGTGTCAGATTCTAACTGTAAGGTACACATGTTCCAAAGAGGTACTAGGCTGGCACAGGTTTTGCAGCTCATGGATATGGTTTCCAAGCCCTTGATATCTTCCATAAAATGCTCGATAATGGCATCAAACCTAACCCTGTGACATTTGTTGCAATATTTACTACTTGCAGTCATTGTATGGTAGGCATGGACCCGGGCCTCAGGCTGGGCTTGACCGGGCTTTTTTTGGGATTCTGGAGGCTGAAAACTGGCCTGGGTAGTTACCGGGTCCTGGCCGATTCGGTCCGGGTCGGCTCGGTTACCTTTTTTTAATTTTCTAATTACTTCCTACCCCACACCCCAAACCTGTCCAAAACACCTAGCCCAACCCATTTACCTTTTTCAAATTTTGGAAAAAAAAAAAATGGCCCGATCCGAGCTTGGCCTGGCTGGTTCATGTTTTTGATGACCCGGAGCCCGCCCCGAAACAGTACTTGGCCGGGTGGCCTGAATCGAGCACGGACCCGGGTACCGGGCACAGTTATGGGCCGGGCCGGTTGACCCGGCCTGAGTACATCCCTATGGTATGATGTTGGATGAGGGACTGCAATGCTTGAAGGAGAATAGGAGATGAAGAAGTATGGATTGACACCAGAGGAAGATCAGTATACATGCTTAGTTGATATGTTGGGGATAACGATAAATGGAAGGCTTGAAGAGGCATGGGTTTTGGTAAATGGGATTGAGCTGCACGACAATGGGCCCTTTCCTGATGCCATTTGGACTGCACTACTTGGGGCTTGTCAATTGTACGGGAACGTAGGAATTGGAAGAGAAGTAGCACAGAAGTTGTTGGAAAATGATGAAAAGCACATTTCAAGGACTTGTCTTGCATTATCAAATGTATATGCAACAGCAGGGATGTGGAAAGAAGCGTATGGAACAAGTGAGTTATGGGGCAAAGAAGGAGATGACCATAGAGAGATCGGAATTAGCTGCCTCAGCATTCCTCTTTCACCAGGCTAAGCAGACTTTTACCTAACTGGAACAGCTTTCTAAAAGTGTGATCAACTGATTGTTCAACCTGCACCAAGTGATCTGGTTTCTGAAGTGTATAAATTTTACATCCATGGCTGGATGGGTCCAAACTATTCAATCTTGACTGCATGTGCAATGGGTAACTTTTGCATTCTTAATGCTGCAAAACACATCATCAAAGGTGACGCTGAATTGCAGGGTGTGATGCTTTGTGGTGGATCTGATTCAGTAATTACACTTACTGGCCCGTATGGAAGGCCCTAGCTAAAACTGGGGTTTGCAGGTTAGGACGTTTTCCTGTGTGTAGGCCTGTAGGGAAGGCCCTAGCTAAACCTGGGGTTTGTCGGGATAATAATGTTAACTATAGAAATGATTAAATGTGCATGTCACGTTGACCCAAGCTGGTGATCTCAAGGAGCTCCTAGCCCTTTGTCGTGGTTTTGATCAGAACCTGAAGGTAGTTTCTACAAAATCTATGAATGGTCATCTTCTGGGAACAGTTGGTGCTGTAGAGGCTGTAGAACTGTTCAGTTTCATATCGATAAATTGGTCTCTAGAGGAATATATCTATGCAACATTTTGTGTACAGTCTGCTTCACTTTGGATCATGAGGGGTACTCTAGTTCTTGCTCATATATTGGAATGTCTTCATAGGTTGGAAATCGGCATTGTAAATTGAGTTTGTGCTGTATGAGTTCACAAGCTTGAATATAGAAGGGCAGCTATGTAATTCAAACTCAAGGTTTCACTCAAAAAAAGTGTCAAGTTTATTTTTATTTAGCTTTTTACTTGAACTGTTTTCAGTCCTAGATCAGACCTGAATAGTTATAAAATACACAAAGACCAAACAATTACAAGATCAATTCAAACCATATCAGCAGTGGCGGATACATAAATGTTTGTTATTGAGGGCATTGTTATATGACATACATCAAGTAATGGAGTTACTCTAAGTCTCTAATACAAGTGTATTCATGTGAACAACCGAAAAATTGAGAAAAATAGAAAGATAATTGTACAAGGTTAGTTTTGGAATATTATTTTGGAATCTCTTTATTAGTTTTTGATTGATTTTTTTTTGCATTAAAATAAGAAAAAATGACATGTGTATTATTATTAATAGAGTTTTACTGGATAAAATTATGACTAATTATGTTTTTGGACAAAAATATGACTAGTTACTGTGTACGAATAATTGGACAAGAGTCACTATATGTATTTCAGAATGACAAATCACCGGTAGATGATGGGTGAGTTACTGATAACTAGTCACTGAATATGTCTTTTTTTGGAAATTTTTAAAATAAGTTACATTTTTTTCTTTTGAGTTAAATTTAGTACTACCTCCTTTCGGTGGACTTTGTCAAGTACAAAGTAGGTGAGAAATAAGAATAGTAAAAACTGTTTTGTTGAAATTTGTGCAGAGGAGGGAGAAATATACAGAACCACAAATTAGTTGCTTTAATAGGAAAGTGACAAAGTTTTTTGGGACAACCAAAATGTGAAAGTTGGCAAAATCCAATGGGACGGAGGGAGTAATATTAATGAAAAAGGCCTTAGAACAATAATACTGTTCAAAATCTTTATTGTAAAGTAATTTCAAAAACACAAATCTAAATCAATTGCAAACAAGTAGTTTAACAAGTAGTTCAAAAAAAAAAACAATTCGTTCAAATATTACATTAAATTAATTATCTTTGAAATTAAAACAAAGTAATTACACAAATAACAATATATTCAAGACACTATACACTAAGAACACTTATCAACATTGATAGAGTAATTGTCTAGAGAGAGGTGAGAGCTAGAGAGAGAAGTGCAATATATGCTTCAATAGAATGATTTTGTAACCCCTACAACTACTCCCAAGGGGAGTATTTATAGAGAAAATACGGGCTGGGCCCCCAAGTCTTGGGCTTGGGAGGCCCATTTACAACTGGACCGCTACTGGGCCGAGATACAAAGTGATAAGAATGATTAAGTATGAAATCTGGTTCTGTGAGGTCTTCGTGGCCGACGAGGGCGTGGCCGACGAGGGCACGGCCGACGAGGGCACGGCCGACGAGGGCACCCGGGTTCCTTGGCTTCAGGACCATATTCTGAGTTGGTACCTTTCCGGTCGACGGGGGTCCCTTGGCCGACGAGGGCACCACTCAGTGTCTTGTGCTTTCTGTTCTTCTGAGTATGTGGGTCCTGGGGCTCAGACCCATATACTCCATCAGGAGTCCCCCACTCTCTAAGTTGAGACGTAGACGAAGTGAAGGAGAGTAGATTCCCGTGCTTTGGTGCTTTTGGCCGATGCGGGCACTCCCAGGCCGTTAGCTGTTGCGGCGTTGGCGCTGTTTCCATTTTGGTGATCTTGTTCTGTGCTTGGCCGTTACCTGCTCCTCGCTGTGGACGGGGAGGCCGTTGTTTCCTTGGTGTGTTCGTTTGGGGACGATGAGTGTCCTGCTTCGATGGTGGCCGTTGAAGGCGCGTTTTCCCTTTCTTGGACGTTGATGGTTGAGATTTACATTTGGGCCGATGAGGCCGTTGAGGTTGAACCTTGCTTCGAGAACGATGGGCGTCCTTTCCTTTGGGTGGCCGATGAGGGTGCTTGCGCACTCCTTTTGGCCGTCGCTGATTGGCTTTCGTGTTCTTGGCCGAAGAGCCCATTATGATTAACTGTTGGCGGAGGACGATGATTGTCCTTGCCTTAGGTGGCCTGTTGGCCGTTGCTGATGATGTTATGTGCCTTTGGCCGACGAGGCGCCGTGTTGTCCAAAGTACCTGACCGGAGATGGAGTCACGAAAACCTTGGCGCCGTTGTGATACATGGACGATGTGGCCATGCTTTGTGGTTACATTTGTGTTCTTTGCATTTTTCCTTTGTCTGTATTGTTGAGGCCGATGTAGTCCCCCAGTCCCCCACTGCTTCAGGCCGAAGAGTGTGAGGGGTGAAGGAGTTGCTTGAGTCCCTGGCCGAAGCGGCCTCTCCGTAGTGCCCCTGAATCCAACCCTTATGGCGATTTTCTGGCCAAGGTAACCCTGTGGGACAACCCTTGTGCGCAGATCGCTTGTAAAGAGTTATCATCAGGGGTCGTTACGAAGGCCGATGGCTGCGGGTTCTTTGTTCCTTTGGTTCTGTGGCCGTTACGGGCGTTCATGACGTTCCTAGCCGTTGTCATCTCTTTATCGCTGTGGAGGCATTAGGTGCCTTGGCCGTTGCGGGCGCTTTGCTGGCATTGTGAAGCCGGCAAGCGTATAGGCCGTTGTGGGCGTTCGTTGTCCGTGTGATCCGTAGGGTTTTACTCCGCCGGTAGGTTAGTTCACGAGCCCGGCCCATTTCCGAAGGGGTGGCACCTCATTGGCTGCTGGGAAGGTGACCGCTGAGGTGGCCACTGATATGGTGCCACGTGTAGTGACCGTCGGAGAGGAGGTCTATAAATACCCCTCCCCTTCCGACGCGGTAACCTCATTTGCAATTTGTGCCCACGAAGTGCT